CCGAAATATCTTGAACATGCTAGTTGAGTGAGTCATAAAATCGCTGTCTATGGAGATTAAATGATATATATAAATAAGCTTGCCAGTTAAATTACATATGTCGATATGTCCGAGTGGTTAAGGAGACAGACTTGAAATCTGTTGGGCTACGCCCGCGCAGGTTCGAACCCTGCTGTCGACGTTTTTATTTCTTATTATTTTATTTATGTTTGCTTTCATTTCGAGTTTCGAGCCGTCCATATGGCCATAGATTTTTATTCCTTTTTATTTTATTTATGTTTGCTTTGATTTCGAGCCGTCCATATGGCTATAAATAAATGAAAAAACAAATCCATATGGCTATAAATAAATGGAAAACCAAATCTCCACAGTTTGGTGTAAACAACACGCGCACCTCCAAATTTAATCGTAACATATAATTTTGGTGTAAATTTTTTTTAGAATTATCTAAAAATATATTTTTATATCTAATTATAAAAATTTTAACTTCAAAAATGGTTTAAAAAACGGATCGGTGACCCAGATCGGGCACCTAAAAACCGATTCGGATCTGGAATCAACGATCCGGATAGGAAATCGGGTGAATCGGTCAGAATAAAGCTTCAAAAAAATCCAAAAAAATTATTAAAATTCATTATAAATATTATTTTTTAGGAATTCAATAAGAAATGAAGGTAAAATGGACACTATTTATGGGACTCAAAATCTCTTCTTTCTTTCTTTTTTTCTTCATATTCATACGTCTCGATGTCGAGATGATCAATTAGAGGGTTTTTCAACTCTAAAACAACCCTTTTTGATGGATTTTTGAGATACATATGTAATTCTATATTTTAAAATTACAACTTTATATGAACTTTTTTCGTATTTTATTTATTTATAGTTGTGCCCAACATTCAATTGACCCTCGTCGAATGTAATTGTATGGTTGCGTAAGTCTCAAGAATGACAAGAAACCTTTACTCTCGAATAACTGAAAATGCGAAAGAAGATAAGATGAATATGGAAGGTCTCCCTTTAACGTGAGATTTATAAGGTTGTCTCCTAACACTATAGAAGTAAGGTGTTAAAATTTGCTTAGAGAAATCTTTGTTGGATATGATGGCGTGAAAATCTATTTCTGTCCCAAGTTTTAAATTTTAAAAACGGTATTGAGTAGATTAATAAACATTTGGAAATCTTAAAAATAGATGGTCCAAAAAACTTGTTATAAGATATACTACTTTTTGGATTTGAAATTCGTTTTCTTTTTCATGTCCATAAGATCAAGATGATTAATTTGGAGGGTTCTCCAACACTGGAACCAATGAGTTAAAATCATATCGGTGATCCAGATCAGGCACCTCAAAAACCAGTCCGGATTGTTGGATTGGCCAAATCGATTGGATTTGGCTTTAAAAAAATTCCAAAAATATATAAAAAGTGTTAGTGTACTTTTGGAAATCACATTGTTTCTTCAAACAAAAAAATAATATATATATATATATATATATATCCTAATTTCACATTGAATTTAAAATACATCTCAATTTTATAAATTTCAAATTAACAAATTATAAATATAAGTTTTAAAACATACTTAGTCGAGCAAAGATCTCATTTTACAAGATTGCTAAAATCATTACGTTTTAGGAAAAATAAGTTAACATTATTTATCTATTCTACATGAAATAAAATCATTAGTTTTTAATCAATTAAAGATAGCACATATAATACCTATTGGAAAAAAGAGATTAGGAAAGGTAATCTACAAAGTTCATAGGAATGCACTATGAGAATGGGTTGAGGCCTTGGTGGTAGTAACAATGAACTCTATGATGGAGTCTTTGACTTCATTCTCACCAAGGGGTAGGGCCCAAATCCCCGCTGACTTTTAACCTTTATACTTACCAAAACAATGCAATGCATATTTCTTGTTTATACTTACCAAAACAATGCAATGCATATTTCTTTTTTTTTTGGGGGGGTTGATTAGTCCTAAAATGGTCTTGGGTAGGGTAATACTCCATGTTAACCTCATGGTCTTGAAGTTATGGGCAACATATGGGCTATAGAAAATAACTCACAAGAACTGTGCAATATCAATTGTAGACCCGGTTTCTATACGATCAAGCCTGCATATGTAGAAGTGCAGGCCTCTTAATAAATCTATTTTAGAGATGGATTTTAGGGCTCAATTTTTAATGACATGTAATCTCTAACATAGAGATCATGAATGTGAAAAAATTAATAAATTTAAAAACTAGATATAATAATTCTAGTAAGAAAACATTTGAACTGTTAGTTTCCATTGTTTTTAGATGGAACACGTACTTGCATCCAACTTTAAGATAGATGCTTTACATTTTCTAGACCGCATATATAGAAATGCGGTCCAGCCCGCATGAAACAGTTTTCCTTTCAATATTGAGGAGAGATTGAAAAGATGAAAACAAATATTACTATGGTTACATAGCGGTATCCTATGAGTCATATGATCATTGTCATAACTATAAATATGTCTTTCATTTATTGTGCAATCAATGGGTCAAATGTTGATGGAGGAGAACGCCTCATCCTCATTGGGTTATGATGAAAAATATAAACTGTATAACACAACATATAGCTAATAGAAATTGCTTAGTGTTGAAATATGAGTGAGGGAGAGAACTGTAAATGAGTGGAAAATTACATTAATCAATTCCCTAAAAGAAAAGCAGCACATAAATTACCATCAAGAGATCAGCTCAACATCAGAAGTTCACATGATTATGTAAGAAAGTTCTCTAAAACCTTGCAAGTATTCAAGCTTAGATGTATACAAACTTGCCCAATTGCACATCTTCTCATAACCCTTGCAATTGTTCGAAATTTAAATATAGCATGTGCTAAACTATAAGGGTGGCTTTCTTAGGTAACTTTAGAAAACTGAAGAAAGAAGGGAAATACATAACAAAGAGCAAACGAAGAGAAAAGAAAAGAAATTTTCATGATATAATTTATCAGGATTTCACTATTGAAGATATAGAAAGAATAACATATATATATATATATATATATATATATAGAGAGAGAGAGAGAGAGAGAGAGAGAGAGTAGTTATTACTAGAGTAGTAAGAAGTAACTACTACGTAACGTAGTACGTTACGTTACGTTACGT